TATCGTGTAATGTTATCTGAAAAGTCTGTGCAGAACTTTACTGAATGCTCTTTACCCAGCCCACAGAGTCATTCTGTGTTTGTCACTGGATTGTAGCTTTTAGTCCCATCTGTCTGCTCAACCTGTCCCCCACTAACCAGTCTTGCCAGTCTGCCCTTCAGTCACAGTGCCCTCTGGAACAGTTCAGCTAGTTTGCTCTGCCTTTGGACTTGCCTGACTTGTCTTGATAGGCTTTGTGCCTGAGGTCTTCTTCCCAGTTTTCCAGCCAGTAGCCTGTCCTAACTGTCCCCAGTTGTCTGATTTTCTTGGATTTTTGTGTCCTCATGCATTTTTAATCTTCTTCTGTTTTTTTTCCCTGGAAACTTTCCCTGGGACTTTTTTTTTTGTTTTTATTTTCCTTTTTTGTTCAGCAACACTGTTTTTTTTTCATCTGTGAGGCTTTGCTACCCCCTGTAAGTTTTCATTCAGACTTTTTGTTCTTTATTCAATCTGAGCTCATTTGGGTTCACACTATTCTGCTTTAATCAGTTTTACAATAGCAGGAGGAAAATACAGTCCTCTATAAATATACCAGACATTTCCAAACAAAACATTTATATTTTTGTAAATGGATTTTAACCAAAAGTCTAATTATTGATTTATTCCCATTCTTTTCATTTAAGTGTCTAAGAAGATGTCAGAAATAACATACTGCATACATGTTACATGTTACAACCCATCAAGCACCACACGTTAGGTAGATTTTCTATTTGGAAAGTTAAATCTATAAAGGCTGTAGACAGCAGAGTGGATGATGATGATGATGATGGTGAAGATCAAGACTTCTTGAGGCCTGATTTTATTAACATATTTAGAAAGTCTTGCTTCACATATTGGCTTCTTTATGGCTGAATTCAGCATTATATCATATTACCCCAATGAAATATATATAAACAAATGTATAAGACACAAAAAGCTGACTTAACAGTTTGCCTAATAAAGAAATGAGCTTAACAAGTGGATTTTTTCAGTACCCTTGGGCGGTGAGTCAAAAAGTTCATTTCAGATACTGTTTCTTGCATTTCAGCACCATGGAGATGTGAACAGCAGTAAGGACGAGAGACAAAACACACTTCAGTGGTATTTACTGTAAACAGACAATACAATTAGATAGACTATATATGAATATAGGGAAATGCCATGTATGGACTCTGTGATCACAATCTGCATCCCAGCATCCTGAGAGGTGAAGTTCATGCCATCTTTCTTGAATTATTGCAGAACAAAAGAAAAGCACATCCTAAACAGATCATATTTCCAGAAATCTGATGTTAATGTAACTTGTTATGTTTAAGTTATGCTTAAAAAGGCTTAGAACGCTGAGAAAAGTGTAATATAAATGACTTATGTGAGACAGAGTGAAAAGTTATTCTTTAGCAGTATAACTGTGAACTTGACAGGAAAACTGCACTGAGAATTTACAAAAACTCTGTTTGGCATCAAGCTTTTTTTCAGTGACTGCCTCAGATCCTTAATATTTGAACCAGCTAAGCATGAGCAGCAAGAGATCAATTTAGATCCCGAGAATAAAAAAGCACAGAGACCACATGTGGAAACTGGGCTGTCAATGCACCAGAGGGAAGTGCCACTATGCAGCAGCATTTGGTGATCACTACCACAGTTTCGAGAGCTTTAATATTTCGACCTCACTTAAATCATAATCTGTCCTGCTATTTTTTCAGTTCACAAACACAATACAAAGAAAACACAACTTGCCGTTGGCCTGAAGTAAAACAGAGGACCTTTCCATTACTTTCAAGTGTAAATGCTGTTCTAGAACTGCTGCGGTGAAAGAAATTATTCTATTCAGGTTTTTCAGCCAGAAGGTTAAGTCAAACATGAACTCAAAGACAAGAGGTTTCTGTGCCAATCTACGGATTCAATCCTCCCACTTTGGAAGGGGAAAAAGGCTGCAGTGCCTGAGGCAGCACTAATGCTGGATAAACTCAGGATGGTCCAACAATGTGAGGCTTCAGATAATACCACTATAAAAATTTACTGCCTTATCAGCCAGCTGAACGCATCCAACAAATTAAAAGAAATGTAGCAGTGAGAGCACAAAGTAAAACACAAAGCTCTGCAGTGCATATCAATGACCCGGTCAACTGGAGCACCAACAAACCACAGGAAACAAACAAAGCTCAGTTACCCACATCCACGCTGCTCACTGTGGACTCAGGTGTTGGGCTTTAAAATGATCTAAAATTATGTTTGCTGTATTTCCTCTGTGACCTTTGCTCATTATTTTCGCAACTGCTAATATCTACGTGATTTCAAGGTAAGTAGCTCTCAGCAAATTACAACGGCAGCAGGCTTTGATCACCCTGAGGTAAAGAGCAGCTGGTGATTAACTCTAAATAACACGCACACAGACTCATGAAATAAGGAAACATGCAAACACACCAACTCGTGACCTGCTGTTGGCACGTAATTAGACCCTGAATTATACCAGGTAAAATACACATTATACTGATTATCAGATATAAGTCTGACATCTTTCCATCAGCTGATACAAGATCAGACCGTGATCCAATCCCATGGTGCATCCATTCATTGGGGGGG